TTTTGTTTAGGTTCATTTTTTTATCCTTTTATCATTACATGATGTATGTAGTGATAAAAGGATAAAAAAATGAATCAGAGTGAAAGATAAGGGTGCCGAGTGCAAAGTTCTTTACCGGTCCATGTTTATTATTATATAATAAAGAAAGAAGATTATCCTGTACCTAAATGAATTAAAAAGCAAATTAATATTAATTTAAGTTTATTATTTATAAATCATGAATTATTACAATTTTCATTATTACGTTAATAGTAGGTAAGTACTTTAATAAGTAGGTAGATAGGTTGTTGTATAAAAATGTATAAAACATAACCACTTCCTGGCAGTCAGATAAAAATACGAACTTTTAATGCTAAGCATTCTTAAGCAGCGAACCTTGAAGCATGCATAAAACTTCTCATAATAGATTGTCAGAGACACTTGCCAGACTATTCATCTTTATCTATTTCAGAAACATTTTATGATGATGCAGACGTAGAAGAGTCCGTCACATTGATTATAACCTAATCTGCAGTGTTCTTTTTCATATCCCTTTTGGATGTATATACGTCACTTTTCACCACGTTTCTTGAAAAAAAAAAAAAAAAAACACTCAGATTTATTAGAATTTATTCCTTTCCCACCACTACTAATTCTGCCAAAAACCCGCCAAATTTTTTATAAAAAAACAATTAAGGAAAAAAAAAAAAAAAAAAACAAAAAAAACAACAACGCGCAAAAAACGCTTCCTTCACTCTACCCCGTACCATGAGACACGCTTAGCGCATATACGTAATCTACAAAGAAATGTATGGAAGCAATAACTGTCGTTTTGTTTCGATGCTAACATAATACTTGAGGTCAATGTACTTTTTTCCGCCTGCCCTAGAAACGTACTATATATCTATACATAGATGCATATGAGGCTCATAAGTGCATTAATTATCATATCATATCAGATCAAATTAAATTTAAATATTAAATCTGAGTTGACACCATATGCTCAGTGTTAATTTAATCGTATTTTAGTTGGCATTTGTTGTAATGTAAAGCCGAATTTTTTTTGGACAAACATTGATTCTTTGAGAGGAAACTAAAGGAGTTATTATAAAATATGATGCATAGGTACGTATCCGTATGTATTAAACATAACATACATAAACACTCACGCCTGTCAACCAGAGGGGTAGGCAGAGACCACAGACTTCCATTTGGCACGATCCTGACACACCTCTCTCGCCTCCTTCACATCCATACACCTCCGCATACATGCTCGTCGGTTAAGGGTACTCCTAATTTGGCCCGTTTTCAATAAATTGTCAATTTGGTCGATAAATTTTCGCCTAGGACGTCCCTTTCCAACTCTGCCATTCACTTCTGCAACATAAATTTTCTTTGTCACTCTTTCCTCATTCATTCTTTCCACATGACCAAACCACCGAAGCATTTCTTTCTTAATCCTGGTCACAACATCATCTTGCAAACCACACTCTTCTCTTATTACACAATTTTTTACCCTGTCATTAAGATTCAGCCCTAACATACTCCTTAAGGACCGCATTTCTACTGCGTTCATTCTACTCTCGTGCTTCTTCTGCCACACCCAACTTTCACTACCATACGTTAAAGTAGGGATCAACACAGCATTGTGAATTGCCATACGTGCCTTTTTCGACACATTTTGACTCTTCACAATAGAGTGCAGGGCCCCATTTACTCTATTTCCCGCATTCACTCGTCGTTCCATATCCTTATCATATCTCCCATCCCTGCTGAATACGCAGCCCAAATATACAAACTCATCTACTTGCTCGATCAACTCCCCTTCTATTCTTATTTCACAAATCGTTTTATTTTCTTCTCTTTCAAAAACCATAACCTTCGTCTTACTTGCGTTCACTTTCATACCCCTTTCTTTTAATGATCTGTTCATTAATGTAACCATCATTTGCAACTCGGAAGCCGACGACGCAAGGATAACTTGATCATCGGCGTACAAATGGCATTTGACGGTTAACTCACCCATTCTTAATCCGCATTCTTCAACTTTCAAATTTTGCAAACAACTGTCCATAAATAGGTTGAACAGCCACGGGGAAGCCACACAGCCCTGTCTGACACCTTTATGGATGTCAAACCAGTCCGAGTAGACCCCGTTGATCCTAACACAAGCACTAGAGTCCCTATAAAGGGACTCCAGAGCCTGTATCAAGCCAGCGCCCAACCCAAATGACTTCAGTGTTTGCCATAGCACATCCCTATTCACTCTGTCATAGGCCTTTTCCAAGTCCATGAACGCACAAAAAACCTTTTGGTTTTTGGCCAAAAACTTCTCCGCGATCATGCGCATGGAAAAGACTTGATCTGTACATCCCATTCCCTTTCTAAATCCCGCTTGCACATCCCGAATTTTTCCATCAGTTTCTTTCATGACCCTTTCAATCAGTACCTTAGCATACAGTTTTCCCACAATGCTAAGAAGGCTGATGCCACGGTAGTTTTTACAGTCCTGCTGCGACCCTCTTCCCTTATATACTGGGACTATCACGGCTTTGCACCAGTCTACCGGTACCCGCTTCAGTTCCCAGCATAAATTAAACAAGGTGTGCAGCAGGCCTGCCACCACTTCCTCTCCAGCCCTTAGCATTTCGAGTGAAACTCTATCATATCCAGCAGCCTTACCTGCTTTCATGCTTTTCATTGCTTTCATTATTTCACCTATACTTATCTCGCTACCTCTTTCCTCTTCTTTCAGAATTTCTACTTCACTTAGTACACACGTTGTCTCCTCACTCATAAACACGCTTTCAAAATATTCCTTCCATCTCTTTAAACTCAAAACTTCATCATTCAGAATATAGCCATTCTCGTCTCTTATAGCATTCATCATAGGCTGTTTCAAATGCCCCCTGGCAGTTCTTACAAGTTTCCAGAACATTTTAATATTTGCCCGGAAATTATCCGATATTCTTCTATCATTCTTATCCGTTCTTTCTTGCTTTTTTCTTTCAACTACTTCTTTTACTCTCTTATTAAGATGTCTAAAGACTGCCCTTTTTCTTTCAATATCATCATTCGTACCGCTAGAATTACCAGCCTTTGTTGCTAGTAAATCTAGCCATGCTCTCTTCTTTGCTTCAACTTCCATACGTACCTCATCATCCCACCATAACGTATTATTTTTCCTTTCATTCTTTCTCTTACTAACACCACATACTTCGGTACCTGCATTCCATTAAACCTTTCTTTACATTTTGCCATACATTCTCCAAGTCTAACTCCTTCATACATAATTCATCCAAACCACTTATATTTTCTTTCAGTCTACATTTGAACTTGTCTTTCTCACCTTCATCTCGTAACCTTTCTGTTCTAATACGCTGTAACGCAGTGGTAGACACAGATGATCGATGGCGCCAACGCCTGAATAGAACATTAATTCGGCATAAAACCAAATAATGATCCGTTCCTACGTTAGAACCCCGGTAAACCTTTGTATTCACCACTGCGCCCCTCAATCTTTCATCCACAATTATTAAATCTATCATGCTTCTATCGTCACCTCTTTGTCAAGTATACATGTGAATCCTCTTGTGGCGAAAGCAAGTGTTCGTCACAAAAAGATTTTTTTCCATACATACGGTGAGAAGACTTTCACCATTCTCATTTATACTTTCATCACCAAACGTTCCCAATATTCTTTCATAACCAAGCCTCCTCACCCCAACCCTTCCATTAAAATCTCCTAGCATAATAATATTTTCATTTCCCTTACACTTCATTAACATCATCCTTACCATTTCCCAAAACTGCTCTCGGACATAAGTGGGCTTAGACATGTCTGGGGCGTCGACCCCTAACACAAATAACTTCTATAAGCCCACTTTCATTCGTATCCATAGCAGTCTTGGGCTTACACATTCATACTCTTTCACACATTGGCCCATTCTTTCTGAAAGGATGATACCTACTCCCTGGCATGCCCGCTCGATCTCGTCTACACCAGACCAGTATGCGGTATACATGCCATGTGTAGTGACATCCTTCCCCTTCCTTTTCGTCTCATTTACGCATAACACATCTATTCCTCTATCATACATCATATCGCATACTTCATCCATTTTATTATTCATTGCCCCACATACATTCAACGTAGCCAGACGGGCCTCTGCAATCCACTTTTCGCCTCTCCGGGAGACAGAACGTGACGGGTGTATGTATTATGTTTGTAAATATTATAACTAATTACTTATAAAGCTAAATGAGACGTAGCTTTTAAACAAAAAGATAATGACAACCCTAGTACGCATTTAAGTTTCGCGCTGCGCGACGAATACCGAATAATATGGTGCAAATTATTTGGCCTGCAAGGAAGTAGTGTTTATTCTTCAGAGCGTCTATTCTCTGAAGCCGGGATTCTCTACGAGAAGAAAAGAAGTAAACTAATCCCTCTTTTTTACAGCATTATCTTCCACTTTAATTACGATAATTCGAGATAAATGACTATGTCATTTATCTGATTTTTTTGGAAGTTGATTATGTATCTATGACTACTTTAATGATGATAAGAAAAGAAATTATAAAACTACAATAAAACCTCTTATATAAGTATTCGGTATTCGGTCGAGTAATACCCTAGATATTTGGCATTTTAACGAATATAATAAAAGTAGCCGAATAGGCCGAATGCCGAATAATAGCCGAATATTCGTTGCAAGTCTAATGTAAATTTTTCTTTCAATTTAATTATATATTTTCGCCAATATGTTGCAGTTAAACTTGAAATATAGACTTTTCCAGATGAATAGTTCGTCAGGGAAGTGAGGCTTAGTATAAAAAAGATAACACTGAGTATAGACTACACTCAAAACTATACCCAAGTTTAGCCGGCTAATCTTAACTTAATTATTTACTCTTATATGATCCTAATATATTCCTTTGACTCTCCAATTATTTTTATCAAACTCTTGAATCCACCGCTACGATTTATATAATTTATTGTTAACAAGAATGCTTCATACTTGTTTATTGTGATGTCTGTAGCTTCATACGACGCATGCACATATTTAACGTGCTGGTCTGGGTGGGCGGGTTCGTGAACGTAGAGCTCCCCATCTTTCTGTAGAATAAGTAACACTCACGTAATACCAGCGTAAAATAACAATTTAATGCTGCTATTTATTGTACTGTGAGTAATGGGAACCGAAGAAGATAAAACGAGATATTCCATCTTAGCCACAGGGACGTGAATACATCTGCATTTTGATTTTTATTTGAGGATTTTTATTTGTAAATGTCTATGAGTCACAGCATCCACTTACTATTGGGTGGAAGTTGAATAGACTTGTTTTTCACACTTAATTATGTAAAAAAATTGTTACTTACTCAGGTCGATGTAAGAAATACGTTGGCACGAGATGCCAGGTGTAAGCGAGGCCAAAAGTGACTGCTGTTGCAATAACCAGCAGTGTTCCCAACGCAACTGTGGCCCATTTGCGATTGCGCAGCAACAGTGTTAGCGCTAATGCCGCTGCGTAGAGCTGTGTGTCCGCTGCTAGGTACCTGGAATCCAAAAGCTTAGTACAACTCGCGGCACGAAAGTTTAGCGGTGACCGTTATTGAGCATAATTGGCCCTATTGTGCATTATAGCGTACGATTGGCTGTGCGTATCGTTCGTACGCGCTGATTAGCTCTCCAGCAGCCGACATACGCAGCTATCACCTCCATGTTTCGTTTAGCGCTGGAGTTACGTGCCGTGAATCGTAAGTAGATGGGAATAATGTTTGGAGCCACATTCTGATATATTTATGTTATGTTATGTGTGTGACTGCATATATACGGGTAAGAATAAGGGTAGTTTCTTTCATTAAAAGAAAAGCAAAATATATTTTGGAGATATTTTGTTGCATTGTAGGAACATAAAAAACATTTTTGAAGAATGTATTAGGTAAATAAAATTAATGTAATGTGCTATCTGCTAAAAGAATATCTAATAATGAATAAGAAACAACGATAATTTAAATAATATATTATATATTTTTATGTTTTTGTATTTATTACTTACTGACAACCTTGTTTTTTGAATCACTTACCAGGTCTGTATAAGGCACTTATCATCAGGATTCAACACATTATTGAGGTACAGCAGATGGATCCACCACTTCTTTCGGCATATCTGTGCCTCGGTAGAGACTAATGGAGCCCACTGTGGACCGCCGCCCAACCGCTCCCACCAGCTCGATGCGAACCATACCACAAGAAAGTAACTTGGACTTAGCCTGAATATTAATCATGTCAAACTATTAAATTATTGCATAATTTCTGACGCCAAATAACATTCCTTGTACTGCTGTAAAGTCTGAAGGGTGTAGAGAACAGAGGATGTAGAAGCATTTCGTTTATCAGGGTTACCGTGTACGGAAACGGTGTAAGAATATCTACTACCCATATCATCCCATGGGTGTCGTAAGATGCGACAGAGAGAAGCAAATGAGAGGAGATGGGCAGCTGCGTTCAACGACAAAAAATAAAATATTGCGGTTGCAACTAACAATGTGGGGGGGATATTGATTGATTTAAAGATTATTGATTGTACTATGAGATGATCTATGGATTAAGGATCTTAAGCCTTTTTCTTTCTTTGATTTATTTGCAGCTGTCCATGGACTGCTATAGCCAGTTACCATCAGCTGGACGGTAAGTTTGTTTGTCGTCGATTTTATTAGTGAGGCTGTCAGTTTTTGTAGAAGTAAACTGACAGACGGGCACACAGTCCTTATAAAATACTATATATATAATAATAATAGTCACTTCGGTATTATAAAATAAATGGGTTTCGCAGCGCTTTCCGTGGCTTACCGTTTGGCGTTTCTTTATTTTGATGGCACCGTTTATTGACCCCTATCGACCTTCGCCTATTGAAAATTTGTATACTTACATCATTGCATAATCTTGTCTTATTCTTTTGGTGATAACACGATTTCGTCTTTATTTTTTATTCGTTAATCGATGTAGATATCTATAAGTCACAGCATTTATTACCATCGGGTGGACTGTGCGCTCGTTTGTCCCTATTGCTTCTACAAAAACTTACTACCTTACTACTTAGTACTATTATTTATTCTGTGGCCTTACCTAATAAAATCGATGACAATTTATGTAATGTTTAAAGTTGGTCTCTCTGTTTTTACTAAAAAGCAATAAAAGAGACAGGTATAAAGAGAATGAACACTCGAACATTTAAATATTTATAAGTTTTAAATTGTTAAAAGAACATTAATGTTTTTACCCGATTGCCCCAGAAGGAGGGTAATGTTTTTCGAGAGTATGTAGTTATGTATATCTCATCCATGGTCGTCTGTTTCTTTGGCACGCTCTGAAGCCCAAGCGGCTTGATAAATCTTAAGACGATACCCCGACCAAAACCTTGCGATAGTGCGTTTTTCAGAGAATATTATCTCAATAATTATGAGAAATAAACTATATCTAAAAGCACATTATTAATATTCGATATCCTATCATCATATTCCACGTTCTAATTTGTTTTTATGTGTTATAAATACATTTAAAATCAACTTTTAAAAAATGACTAAAATTATTGATTACATTCATCTGTTGCTATAGACAACGCTCTAATCATTTGATGATTACGCTAATGGAAAGATAATTTAAAAATATATATTATTATTTTTTATTTACTATATTATTCACGTTTTATTTAATAGATATATTGTATATGGTCGTTAAATAGTCGTAGTGTCGTTAGAATCGTCTTAGTTATAAAAATGACATAGGATATAAAAAAAATTCGGTAAACTTTATTGGGCAGTCTGTTTTTTTTTAAATTGCTGTTTTACCATTTGAATGTTCTCTTTATTTAAATTAGGTCAATTCTTAAAACAATTCACGTACCTTATAATTCTATTAACCATCATGGTAAAGAACGTTCGTATCGGCGGTAAATATGAGCGGTCCTGCAGCAATTTGTGGGCGAGCAGGAAACTCGACATGATGAAGAATATCTGCACAACCAGCGTGCTGTTCGTCATCAGCATCACGTCCCCTGCACGCCGTGTCTAAATATTTTAAAAGTATATAATATATGTAATTGTGTAAAAAATATCAATGAGTTAAACGAGGAAAGAAAATAATCTCAATAATCTCTTGAAAAAATCGTTTTTTACTATTTAAAATATAAAATAAAATAACTATTTTACTAATGAAACTATGACGTAATGAGACAGTATTCGCATGTAATTCTTATTATAATAATTTTTGGTTTTGGTCTGGTAGGTTTGATAACTCTGAAATATTATTTGTACTCCGTCCTTGCCCTCATGAATCGCTGATTTCCAAAAATATGAGCCAATTTAAAGTCACATTTATGCATACTTTTTTTCTTTAGTAATTCCTTTTGAGAATTTTCTAGAGAAGAAATATTATAAAAATGCAAGGTATGTACGGTAAGTAATATCTTTTAAAGACCGCGAAAATAAAACTAGGGTTAAAAAGTTGTCAGTACCTAATCACTGTTCACGGACGTTTTGCACCTTAAGATGATATTAATTTAAATACCTAAGATAGTGTGTAAATCACATAAGTATTATTATTAATGCTATACACCGTTATGGGGTCCCTTACATACCTGTTCGTAATATCTGGTATCAGCTAGGTAAGATAGCGTAGCGAGCCAGCATACATGTTCGATGATGACACACAGCATGCAGAAGACGCGTAGACCATCGAAAATTCGTAAATCACAGTCTGCCGGAGCGGTAGGTGGCGCTGTCAGAGTTCTCCACGACTGTCGCACCGACCATGACAAAGTCCAACCTGCACCTAGACATAGTTGTATTTGTTATATTACTTTCTTAACTTCTTTTTAAAGATATTGCTAACTGTGTTTAGCAGAATTTTCAAAATTGCCATCCTATCTACTAAACTTCCACATGTGGTAGAACTATCATCATCATCATTACAGCCCTTCACAAGTCCACTGCTGAACATAGGCCTCCCCCAAGTAATGCCACAAAGCACGGTCCTGAGCCACCTGCATCCATCGACTTCTTGCATGTCTTACCAGGTCGTCACTCCATCTAGTGGGGAGGCACTATTGAGGTCATTGAGCATAGTGCTTAAGTCCTCCAGCGATTCTGCCATAAGGACTATATCGTCGGCAAATCGAAGGTCTTAAGTTAGTTTCTCATACCAGTGTAAAATATTGCTGTGTTTCGTTTCGTGAGTGTAGAAAACTGGAGACCCTTTTTAATGGAAACGAGGCATTCCATCTTATTCCGCAGGGGTAACAACGCATCTCCATTTTGATTCTAAATCGAGGATAGATGCAGATGTAGACCACTGTATCCACTTACCATCAGGTGGACTGTGTGCTCGTTTATCACCCTTAATCTATAAAAGAAACTCTGACGCCTTGTCCTAATTATTTAGGTAGGTACTTTTTACTCTTTAATTTTTGCATATCTAGGGTGCATGCATAATGTATAGTAGTAGAAATATGTCTCAGGTAAAATTTATTGTAGTAATTAATTTATAGGAAAAACATAAAGAGGTTGTGGTAGAACCATATTGCAGTTACATTAGTAGTATAGTTGTAGCACGAATGGGTCGGCTCGACCGGGGTAGGACCACGCTCTCACAGAATACCAACGTGAAATAGTAGCTTGATGCTGCTGTGTTTCGTATGGTGAGTGTAGAGAACCGGAGACCCCTTTTACTGGAAACGAGGCATTCCATCTCAGTCCTCAGGGATGACAACGCATCTGCATTTTGATACTAAATATAAGATAAATCTAGATGTCTATGGGCCACAGCATCCACTTACCATCAGGTGGACTGTGTGCTCGTTTGTCACCCTATCCTATAAAAAGGTTATTGTTAAAATAATAATAGTGTCAGAGAGCATGTGGAACTTGATGACTTGCTTATGCAATTATTCATTATGAATAAAAATATAGTGTACCGGACATTCAGTGTAGCGCAGTCATACCGTCATACTCATACGTCACAGTAACACAATGGTGTAATATGATGGACGTAATTAACATCAAAATAGATTAAGTATGCATAACAACAATAAGCAACTTTTATATATTTATTTCATTTCCTGCTCTCTATCTCCGATACAATAATAAAAAAACACTGAAAATTAATTTTTACTGTAAATAAAGTAAAGTAAAAACATTTTAATGGTGAGGTATATTGTTCCAGTTTCTACTGAGATGCATAAAAAGTTGTTATTCTGCACTGACATTGCTGACAAATCAGCAGCATTTCAGCAGTAAATTCGCATTTTCTGCGTTAATGTATGTGTGCGTAAATGGTTAAAAGTGTTGTGTTAGTCAAAGTGTGTCTTGGAGAGTGTTTGTCAACGAGTTAAGAGTACACACGATTGGAAGTGGTTGCTGCCACTGATGAACACCTGAAACCAAATTCAAATGAATATGCCTACAGATGCGTTGTCATCTACGACTTATGTGTAAGAAATGTTGCTCTTAAGTATATTAGTTCATAATTAGCATTAAGTAATTAAAGTTATAAAGTAAAAATTCAATACAATGTAACAGATCTCAGAAAGTAGTTATCAACGGTAAAAGCTCTTCCGGGTCAGTAGTACCAATAGGCGTTCCTTAGGGCTAAATTCTTGGTACACCTCTATTTTTAATTTATATAGTGACATATCTTACCTTGTAGGAAAACGATATAATAATATTTGCTGGTTTGCTGATGATAAATCATTGATGTTCAAACTAAAACTATATTTTGTAAAATATGACGAAGTGAATAATGCTCATATCTAAATAACTATACCGGTTTAGCATAAACAATTTGCTTTTGAAAGGCAATAAAATAAAATGTATTAAGTTTATTGCACTTAGTGTTAAGCATGTAAATACCAATGTTATTTTGAATGAGGAAGAGTTGGATCTTGTTGATACCACAGTTTTTTTTGGAAACCACTTTTGGAGAGAAGCTCCAATGGGGCACTCATAAATCTAAACTAGTAAGCAGACTTATTTCTTCAGCATTTGTTGTAAAGAAGATTAGAAGCCTTATTGTGTTGAAACAGCAAGATTAGTTAATTTTAGTTATTTTAATAAGCATAGCGTCATATGGAATCTTGGTATTGGGTAATGCAACTGATATTGAAACTATTTTTGTTTTGCTGAAGAGAGCCTATGAGCTATTCTTTATCTAAATCCGACGGAATTTCTTGGACAAAATTTAAAGATATTATAAATATAATATATTATAGATATAATAAATATAATATATTATATTCAGGCTTCATAGTATTAATAATGTATTTATTAAAAGCATTAAAATGTACGTAATAATTAAAATAAGGAAGATCACACTCACGGTGACCGGCTGACTAGGTTACTGATTTATGAAAAGCGTTAGGCGAGTTAATGTTGATGTCGATTCACTGACTGAATTTATTACTTTACTTAATAAATTCAGTCAGTGAATTACTTACTTTACTTAAACGAGAGATCGTGTAGTTGGCGCCGAAGACTATAAAAATGTAAAGGAAGAATAAGACGACAGAGGTGTGTCAAGATCGTGCCGAATGGAAGTCCGTAGTCTCTGCCAACCCGTCTGGGTTATGGGAGTGTGTGTTCATGTATGTATGTATACGGCTATTCTATTTTATTATGACCTACAAATAGAATATCAAGTGGATATATACTGCTGCTGAGTGGCAAAATAGGTAAATCGGTGTAATCAACCTATATAGAGTAGACTAATAGACTCGAAAAAATGCCCTACTAAGATAAATATATTTTATATTTTACTATATAAAATTGAAGCGACGAACACACACATACAGTCATATAGACTGAGATAGAATGCTTCATAGCCTCTAAATATACTGGTTCTCTATGCTCTTTATGCGGAAACACAGCAGTGCAAGCAAACACTGCTTTTTGGCATCAGAAATAGGGAAGAGGGCGGTAATTATCCAGACGAACTCCTAGACAGAAGAGGAGTCTTGCCATCTAGTAAGATATTTAGATTTTAAAGAAGAAACAATTGTTTTTTGAAAACCTTTGTTAAGTAATTGTTTACATAAATGAGACAATTTCTTTGTTATGGAAAATGGGTCCAACACAAATTGTGGCGTACTCGTAATTAAATGTAATGTCGATTTATTCCTTATAATCTATGGATTACAAAAGTAATATTAGTTTAGCCGTTTCTAACGGGAATAATGATAGATTTAAAATTAAAATATGAACATCACAATAATCTAAAAACAAACTTAAAGCGGTTGTCTAGTAGAAATCAAGTTAAAAAAGAGCACTAGTCAATAATTAATAGTATAAAACGAAGTTGTATATACATTTAGCATTTACAGGTATTTTAATTTTTAAGATCAATGAAAAATCCTTTTAGTAGTTCGGTCATTTTTACACGCATTTTTTTCATATTACATTAGCTAGAACATGAATATCAAAAGAACTCTTTTTTTCAGTTTTCATGATTCCGGTGATTTTCATAAAATATTAAGGCCGTTTATTTTAGTAAATTGGTGTTTCTTTTATGTGTAATAAAATAAAGTTACGTTAAAATTTCTAGTAGCTCCAAAAACGATTGTCTTCTTTAATTTTATAACATTTTGTATATTAGAACCGTGACGGGTTGCCAAACGCATGCCATAAATTTTACAGTACGCGAACAAACCGGTTTCGATCCCCACCGGCGCTAACGAAATTCGTGATTGAAATTTTATGTGAGTGGTGAGTGATTCTGTATACTGGTCGTAAGAGATCCACTACCCCATACTATACCGCGGGTGTCATATGAGGTGAAGGAGGGACATCATCAGAGGGTACTGAAACAAGAGATGAGCAGCACTATCTTCCCGATGACAATTCAAAATAATAAAAAAACTGTGCTTCAGAGCCCGCTTGCCAATGTGACAACTTTGGCAAATATCACCTTATGACGCAATATATGGGGGAGGCCTATATTCATCAGTGGACCTTAATAGGCTGTAATGTAATATAATGACGATGATGATAAATTTTAAAAGTGATTTATCACGTATTCGATGGTGAAGAGATCCGCCAAGCAAAGCCTCGGTGCAACCCGGCGAACTAATGTACCGAGGACATGTTGACATGTCCACGTTTTGTGACCGCTGAGTACAGAGGACATGTATACATGTCCGCATTACGTGCTGCTATTTTCGTCATTAATTGATATAAAAATACAGTATATTTTCGATTGAACACTATTTCATTCGATTCTGAACGAACTAAAGAGTATTCTGAAGAATTATATTCACTCGGTTACATAGACAAAATCAAATATAACAGCCATTCGATTTTGCGCTGTGCGGTTAGTTAGTTGCGTAATCGTTGAAGTTTTGTGATTGTGATTTTAGTTGGATTTTCTTTCAAAAAAACTGTAAGTAATGTTATTTATCTTTACTACGTAATGTTTTTGAATGATTTAAGTTACAACAGTAACTTTTTTATGTTTCAATTGATAAAAAAGTAGAAACAAAAAAACCTCTACGCGAACAATTCATAACGGTCAAGATTTCTAATAAGATTCTAATAAGATAATAATAGTATATTTCTTATTGGAATACTATAGTAAATACTTTTACTAGTAATTGCTGAATGTTATATATATATATGATTGTATAAGAAAAATAAAGGAAGACGCTATAAAATATATACACAAAAAGGTTTTGAAAATGAGTTTATAAAGCGCGCGCAAACTGTCTATTGTCGAATTTTTAGCAAATGTTTGCAAGTGAAAAAGTAGAATTATTATAATTATTACATGCATAATTTTGGTTTATT